TCTGGTGGAAATGATCTTCTACCGCTCTATGTTTAAGTCAGCTGCTGCTATTATTAACAATAAGCCCAGGATATCTCTGGCTTAAACTTGAGAAACGTAGCTGTTGTGCCACAGGGAATATAAATTCTGACAAACTGAGGAAGAAAAGGAGCAGACAGTGATTCTGCTCAGCTTGGTATTTTGCAAGAAGGCAGCATAACAAGGCATAAAGCTATTACTTATTACTGAATTTGTTGAGGCCTGAAAACTTCTCTAAGAGCAACTAGTTACCTTAAATATTTTCTTTCCATGTCCTGCTTGTATGTATCTGGAAGAGGTAGCCTTTGCCATTCTTTTTCTTCACCCTTTAAATGGCTTGTCATTTTTTAAATATGTGGTAAAGAGGAATTGTTTGACAGCCCTTTAACAACTTTTCTGTCAAAAAAAAAAAAAAGTCACTTCTGTGTTTTATAATATCCACTAGGACTGTAGTCCTGCATTCAGATTGAGACTCTGATGTCAGTGTTTTAGACCCTCACTTGAGGCATAAGCCAAGTTTTCTACGTTAGTTACGATTATATTTGTGCAAAACAAGCAGATTAGTTAGCTTTTGTAAGTATTTTTGTCTTGAAAATACTGGTTTATCTTTTGGTTAGCTTTTTGCTAAATTTATCGAGAAAGAGAGGAGAAATGAGTAAGAAGGCAGCTGTTTTTCCAGTAAAACTGCATCTTACCACACACTTAATATGAAACTGTTTCGCAGACTGCAGAAGACTATAATGCTGAATTTGTCTTAAAACATGGCTGTCTGTAGTGACAGGTATTCTTGCTGTACTTCCAGTTGTCCTTTGGTTTTCCAAAACTCGTGCAAAATTGTACCTGCATGGTTTCTTGTGTATGCTGCGTTGCCACTGTCCTCTAACAGTAGCATTGGCAAGTAGTCCCTAAAGTCCTTAAATCTGTAAAATGCTGTCTGACTAATGATTCCTGTGAAGAGAGGTAGGGACTATCACAACTTTGTATTTGGAAACTGGGGTGAAGAAATAGTGATATGCTAGAGCTACACCAAACACCCATGGCAGAAGCAGAGACCGCTAGTCAGGGTTGTAATTCAGGACTAATCCTTTCCAGTAGACAATGTAACGCATCACTCTGAATCAAGCATGTTTTATTGTTTCTATGTAAAGCCTTTGGAATTTGCTTTTTGGGAATGCATATTTTTTTCTTAAGCCACCTGTAAAGTGAAAAACTCTAGCAGCTGACTCCAGGAAAATGCGAGTTTATCCCTCTGCCATTGAATTTTCTACTTTGGATATTTTATTTTAAAGAAATTTTGGGATATATCTTAAGTATCGCTTGACAAAGGAAAACGGTACTGAAAATAAAGTAAACAAAAAGAAGCAAAGTTGGACGTAGCAAGTAATGCAGCAGAAGGACTACCAGAAGAATAAGATCTTTTTTACAGTTAGACATTTTACAGAATAATGCTCAGGAACACTTCTTAACATTTCAGTTAAATTCTGAAATATTAGTTAGACTATGCTTTGTAAAAATGAAACTTAATGTGGCCTTACCTTCTTAGTAAGCAGCGTGTAAAAAATAAGGGAACAATTACGAGGTGATATTGGTCAGCTAATGCAAGCTATCGAGCTTGGTTTTGTTATTCGAAATATTTCCAGCTGAAATATTTGAAATATTTTATATATTGTTATATAGAATAGTTGATCTTGATTGCTAAGCTAAGAAGCAAGGTCAGTATTTCTTTGTGCTGTTAAGTGAGAAGGTTTTTTTTTAAAAAAAAAAAAAAAAAAGGCTCCTCCCTTTCCCTGAATGAAATGCTCCAACTGCTTTCCGAATGTCGCAGCCCATATGTCTCTGCTTGTTCATTTTCCAGTTATTCCAGTTTGCCTGTTGGACTCAGGAGAGTCCTAGCTTTCAGAAGGAGGCACTTTTTTAAAAGTTACACAGAGGGAACTTTCTGGTTGCAAAAAGCCTCCCTTCTTTTGTGTAAATGTTAAGCGTTGTGCACTTAACAATAACGTAAAGTAGATTTGATGTTACTGTGAACAACAAATGCTTTCCAGTACTTTGTTTCATATTTGACTAAGTTCTTGCACAACATTTTAGGCTGCTGAAACATTCAGCTTTACTGCAGACTTGACTGTTCTGACCATAGTACCTGAGGGGAGAGAAGAGAGTACAAGAAAGTGCACAATCTCATCTTGTGTTTCTGACCTTTCTAGATAAATTATTTGTTCTGTGGTCAAAATATTAAGTGCTGTATCATATTTTCCTGACCCTATCTATATTTCAAATTGCTTTATTTGGCATGATTTTTTTTTAATAAGTGTAGTGGGCCAGATAAAACTTTAGTGTTTTACCTTATTAAAATCACTGCTTGTTTGTTCTCTAGAGCAGTTTAAGCGCTTGAAAGGGCTTGCTCTGCATGGACATGCATTTTGAAATGACTGGAGATTAGGGTATTAACACTTCTATGTTTCAGCTTGTAAATTATTCTTAATGTTACTGAAGCTATTTTTCTGCACGAAATTTTCACTGGGACTTTTAAATTTAATTTTGTCTTAAGTTTGCTATCAATTTAATTTCCTTCTTGTAGTACTGATATACTCTTTAACGTTTCCGCTGTTAAGGTATTTTATAGGTCAAGCGCTTTTTATCTTGAGCAGTGATTTCTTGCTTCTCTGAAGACAGTATGTTTTGAAGAGCTCTCTAGTCTATTGCACATACCTCTGGCAGTCTGCTTTCATGCTAGGGTCTCTTCTTGCCCTTCCTTACCTTTGTGCTACTCATTTTTATGATTCCAATAAAGTCCAAGAAGAGCCTTTCCGTAGTTCTTAGTCCCCATGGTGGTCTTCCAAAAAGAGAATCTGATCTTCTTCCTCAATTAAATCAAATATTCCAGTAAGAACCACACAATGTTAAAATATTAACACCTGTGTCTTTCTGCGTACTATATTGCTACAATTTATGTTAAGGGACAAAAGATACAGTGGAAGTTGGTTTTACTGGATTTTGGAAAAATGACTGATTATTCTTATAAATGGAAAGACACATGCTTGGATGGGAAATAAGCCTGATTAACAGCTCTCTTTGTATTAAGTGTGTATTGTGTTAAGTGGGGGGGGGAGGAGATTTACAGCTGGAGGTTCTTTTACAGTTCTTGTTTGCCTTTACCTAGGTAATATAACTGTAACTTAGAAAGTTTTTCTGGAAGGTAGTACCATTGAACTACATATGGAGGTAATAAGTAATATTACATTGCAGAAATAAGGGCATTACAGGGTCCCCCGGTAATAACTGAGGAGTGTTGTACGATAAAGGCACAGTGGTGGGATTTAACAGGATGATCTGGCAAGAAGTCATGTCCATGCTTTTAAATAACAACAACAATGAAATCAACAATAGTATTAATTTCACTCTACATTGCTTAGGAACACCTGATACAATTCAGTTTTATAGTATAGTCTGATTTCAGTGCAAAGCTCAACTCCGGTTGATTGTAAGGGTGAGCAAAATTAACATGT